AACTAGTGTTCTTAAACCCTGAGCCATCTCTCCAGCCCCCATGGCTTCTTTTTAAAAACAATTTCAGCTGGGTATGGTGGCGCATACCTTTAATCCCAGCATTTGGGAGGCAGAGGCAGGTCGATCTCTGTTCCATGCCAGCCTGGTCTACATAGCGAGTTCCAGGCCAGCTAGGGCTAGAGGGACTCTGTCTGATTTATCGTCCTCTTTTTTTTTTTTTTTTTTTTTTTTTTTAAAAAAAAAAAAAAAAAAAAAAAAAAATTAATGATGCTATTACAATGTATCCCACATTTCTTACACAACTGACAAGAAAAACAACTTTTAGCACAAGAATGTCAATTTATTCCTTTTTTTTCTTTTTTTGGACACATGAACATAAAACATCCCTGCAGGCCAAAAAAATTTTTTTGTAGAATTTAAACAACCATTATCTTATCTCAGCATGGGGATACAAACCCTCCCTTAAAAGCTTAGAAAGTACCTTGTATTGCTAGAGACATAATCCAGTCCAAATGAATAAAATACATTTTAACCATATAGAAATGAAAATCACATCATTAGTCAAATGAACAAATGCAAACATTTCCAGCCACTAGACATAGAAAGACATGAATATGTCAATAGCAAGGGAAAGGGATAAGAAAATGGTTAATCAGTAACAAGACCTTTCCTTTAATTTTACAAGGAAACATTCTTGGAGTTGAAACAGTATTAGTACAATGCCCTTAGCCTCCACTTTCTTAAAATGAAAGCAGAGCTACCACCTTGGTATTGAGTAAGAAAAATCTTATATAGCGTGTCCACAGAGGGTGGCTAGGGCAGGGTAGAGAGGGTGAGCCTTGCTAAAAGAGTGGTTTACCTTTTCCCAAGGGAGGGGATAGGAAGGTGAGCCACTTAGGTAAGCTCTGATAAAGGCTGGGCACCAGATCCTAAAATACAGACCATACAGAACATGCCTGCTTGTAAATCATCACCTTTGGAAGCAGCACATAGAATTTACAGTGAAAATGAATATGTTTCGCTTGTCCAGAACGCTGGTTGCATCAAGCCAGCTGGTTCACTTTATAAACCACTCAGGATTCAACAGCTAACAACAATAACAAAACATAATTGGTTCAACATTTGGGTCTTCACCACTCTCTTAATGTCCCATGCTCCTTATCCCCAAATTGTTATTCTTTAGCATTGCTATATTTAAATCGTTCACACCACATGACAGTGCCTAAATAGGCTGCATTTAAAAAACCAAACAGCCTAATGCTACTTCTAGAGAATGCACACCTCCCATTGATTGACACATGCATAATGATTCAGTCGATTGTAGGGGGGGGTTACCTATTCCAATTGTCAAGCCTAATTAAAACTGTGCATTCAGATTTGCTTGCAATGGTATTGCTACAATTCTGATTCTGCACTGACTACCTCTTAAGGATTTATCCCTCAGTAGTTTTTTTTTTTTCCCAATAATCCTACTTCCATATTTCTTTCCTTTTGTCCAAAATGACAGCATTTCACCCTTAATGGTACTGTTTTCCTATAAAAATGGGCCTCCCGGTGTTTCCTCCAACACCACACTATTGGCCCCAGCATACTAGGACTGAGGGAGGTCTTACAAATGTATTGTTCAAGGTCAAACATAGAGCTCTACTGCAGGCAAGTGGATCAGGGCTTCTGGGCACCCTGCCTTGCTCCCTGCTCCATAGATGCTGGGAGATGGTTTCTTCTGTGCATTGCTAACAGGCAAGACGGAGGCACTCAAGTGCAGGTGTGGTGTCCACTGGCCAGCCAGCCAGCCACCAAGAGTTCTTCACATCACAGACTCCAGGCACATCCTCCTTTTCCTAAAAAGCTTCCATTTTTCCTCCTCTTGGGTCCAGAGTGGCTGTGCTGAAGGGTATTTTCTGTGCTCTCCCTGAACAAATGTGAATAAAAGCAGCAGCCGGCCCTGCACCAATATGTCCTGATTTGTATTATCCAAGTGAGGTATTTGCAAAAAAGGAAAATCTTAGGAAATGAACATCTGCCATCTCTTCACTCCTGCCTATGTTGTGCTTCAGCCTCGGGCCTTGCTTCCCCCCACTGCCTGCAGAGATTAAGGACATCTGTACTCATACTAATTCACTACAGGACTTGATAGACATTATAAAACTCTCAGAGACCAGTCTCAGCAAACACTGGTGGTGCCACTGAGCAACAGCACACAGAAATGTAAACATTAATGTATTTACAAGCTGTTTAAAAGACTGAAGAAAAACAGTGCTTTATATTGCTGGGATTTTGAGAAGGCTCGTTTTAACAGATATGGACCAACTAACAAGTTCAAGCAAACACCCTTCACCATCTGATCCAGTGTTTCCCACCAACAGTTTCCGTACAGAGACGGCAATACTCATTTTGCCGCATTGTGTCTGTCTCTCTGGCAAAATTGATTTTACCAGATTGTGTCTGTCTCTCTCCCTAGCCATGTGGAGTGTAACTCCAGGGCCTCTAACTTTTTACTCCTCGCCCTTCCAGGATAGAGTAAAATGCAGGCTGGGAAACACTGGTTGAAACTACCTAGACTATGTAACACTTGTCCTTTACAAAGTATTATCTACACTAAATACAGAATACATCCCCCCCCCTTTTTTTTGTCTTTTTGAAGCAGGGTCTCCCTGTAGCCCCAGCTGTCCTGGAACTCACTATGTAGACCAGGCTGGCCTCGAACTCACAGAGACCCACCTGCCTCTGCCTCCCAAGTGCTGGGACTACAGGTGTGTGCCACCACACCTGGCTTCCCCTACCTTTTAACTGATGCCTACTTTACATCAGCTTCCTTTGTTCTGACAAGAAAAGGAATCTTGTCTCTATTATAGAACAGAATCTATTATAGAACAACAACAATGTCAAGAACAAAAACAAAAACTGACCCTTTCTACATAGTTTTAGTTGAATAAAAGGAAGGAAAACACATCAAATACATTTCAGGTTGAAAGAGGAACAAATGAAATTGCACCATGTAACTATGTGAGTAACCTTTGATTCCCAGGATTTTTTATCTGTCTATATTTATTTATTTATTTATTTATCTATTTATTTATTTATTTATTTTATTTTTGCAACTGCAGCATCACTCAATGTACCTTATGGATTGGCAAAGCCCATCCAGTCAGGAAGCATCCTGGTTCTAGCTTATTTTAAAACAAAGTGACAGGACACCAACTGTGACTATAAAATAGGTAAAAACAATTCTTTTAAAAGGCATGGAAATATATGTCTTTTCTGACTGGTTTCCGAAACTTCCAGGTTATGATATATAAGAAATAGCTGATAAAATCATACTGAAATCTCATTTAGAAAACTACATCATCAGCGGGAGAAAGAGGGAGGGACCTTAAAAAAATGCTTATTGCCAAAGTTAACTTTCTATGAGAAAAGTTTAAAAACCATTTAGATCTAAAAAACCACACAGCAGCATAAAATGGGCACTTTTGAAAAGTTGGAAAAATACTAAAAGCTAATTTTTTTTTTAAATAGGGAGAAACATGGGTACTTTTACCAAGGCAGTGTTATCTGTCCCTATGACATGCATTATATCTGTTTATGTCACACATTCACAAAAGTCAACCAAATTAGACAATTGCCGTTTGGATCTGCTGACAAATATAGTACAATTGCCTGGCAGCCTGTACTTGCACCAGCACAAATCCACAGATAAAATAGTAAGAGTAACAAAATTCTGTAAAACTTTCAAAAACGAATGTTTGTTAAAGGCATTTACAGTGGCAGTCAGAAATCTCCATTAAAAAGTCTATGAGCCCACCCAATTAAAAAGTTACATGGAAATGAAATAGATTGTTTGGTTTTTCTCTCCCACTTATGCATACATCCCACTCAATGAGCACAGAAAAAACAAATATTCTTCTAAGACTAGAGGGATGCGGTGAACACCACAGCTAGCAAAATATCCATAGAAACCTTTCTTGGAAAGTCCTTTAGAAAGTTCAGGCTATCAGCCTTTGCACATTGAGGTAAAAATTCTGTCCAGTGCATCAGAAAAGATAATCTATGAGTATCTATTAAAAAATGGCTCAATTTTGTAGATGCATCAGACAGGGCTGCAAAGTATAGATTCAGTGCAACTATTCTGAGCTGCTGGTAGAAGACCACCTGAAGTCACCTTGGAGCTATCTAGAGGTGGTAGGCATTTGAAACATTTTGAGGATGTGTTGGGTGCCAAACTGGTTGAGTTCTTTTTTCTGAGACTCTCAGGCAAAATACATTGTGTGCTGGGTATCATGGTGGATCTGCACAGCCTTAGCCAAGGCCTGAGGATCCCGGCCATTGCTCTGTCCTGACACATGACTGCCTTCCGCACTGTAATGAGAAGAAAGCAGAAAGCAGGTGTCAACAGAAGGCTACTTCAAACTTTACATGTTTCCAATAGCACAAATAGTACTGCATTTGTGAACGTCTTGGGCTACTCAGATAATTTATGTCTCTCTAGACAGGTTTGTTCAACTGAAAAATACAGAACAATTTATTTAATGGATGACTGCAAACTTGAAATAATTTCCACCAAGCCCCAAGTCTTTGAAAGCCCTTGCATATGGACTCTACTGCTCCCTATGTCTGCTTAGTTCCTACTTACCATTCAGGCTTCAATTCCTCCTAAAAATCTTCCCTGACTCCAAAGTACAGGTCAGGGACACCTAGAACATACTTTCACAAAATACTGTGTTTTATTTTCACAGTGCTAAACACAACTGAAATAAAATTGTTAATTGGGAAATTACTAGGTATTATTGGGTATATTTCTCTGCTGGAATGGAATCTCTTCTGACTTCCTACTGTGTCCCTAGTGTTTGGTATATAATCTAGTAGCTATAATCATTTCTTCAATGAATGAGTCCATGAGCCAAGCAGAGTGCTGACAACAACTTTGTTTTTAACTTTATTTATTCTTATTTTATGTGTATGAGTATATTGCCTGCATGTATGTAAGTGCACCTGTGTCGTGCAGTGCCCACAGAGAGGGCGTTGGATCCCTTGGAACTGGAGCTACGGATATTTGTTAGCTGCCATATTGGTGCTAGGATTTGAACCTGGTTCTTTTGTAAGAGCAGCTAGTGCTCTTAACTGCTGGGTCATCTCTCCAGCCCCTAACAACAACTTCTAAACAACTCTCTTCAGGGTATCATGTAACATAGAAGCTTGGCAAACTATAAATCACAATCCTTTTTCTGATCTCCCTCTCTTTTTTTCAGTGCTGAGGATTCAATTCAGGACTCCATGAATACTAAACACTGTATTCTACCACTGAACCACATCTTATGGCTTCTCTCTTTAAATCCTGATTAGTATCTTTATGATCTAGGATCAAAATGCCTAGTCATCTTTTACTTCATCTCTCCTCTGCCACTCACCCTCAATTAATGGCTAGTCCCTGTCTAGTCTATCCCAGGAAGAGGTTTTTACATTTAACAAATACAGTCTTTCTCTAACATACTTTTCCACCCCATGCCTGTTGTTCCCCTTTAATATGCTCCAGCCAAAGAAAGCTTGCTATTGTCCAAAAATGTCACTTGCTTTCTCTCTTTTATGTCTACTGTTTCCTCTGCCTGGAAAACTCTCCTTTGAAAAGCTAAACCCTACCCACTCAGCTGTAAAATCCCTACCAGTCTTTCCTCTGATAGCCCACTGCATTTTTATTTATACCGATTTAGACTAGTTGTCAGTTTTATATTTGCCTGTATTGTCTTCATACTGAAACATAAAATACCATGGGCAAGAAACACAACTGACTCATCTTGGTATTTTCTAGTACACAGCACAGTACTGGGCACACAGTACCTAGTAAGTGTATTGGTGAGTGAACATATAAAAGGTACAAGTCACAGCTGGGCAGTTTTCGTAACAGAGTATTTTCAGTCCTTTACAGAAATAGACTTGCAGTGGAATGTCTACTATTTAGCAGATGAATTCAGACTTGGGAAAGAGCCCAGAAACTGCTACACTTCATAGATGGTCATTTCGAAAAGAAAATTAATGCAAAGACCTTGTTTAGCTATTTATTAGTAGCTCAGTAACAGGTCAAAATGTGTGTCTCTTGAGATCCCTATCTGAGAGTGAATATAGTTGCCTCCCCCTCACCTCCATGTGCCTAAGTTCACTCTGGTGAATTCTGGATTGTACAGGAAGCAATATGAACTGGGACTCCCTCACAGATGAAGTGGGAGGCTTGTGACTGGAGTCAGGGCATTGTGCTGGCCCCCTTTTGAGGCTGCCCAGGACCTCAGCAGAACTGAAATGTACTCAAAAACTACAGGCAGTTTCAAATTAGACTCCACTAGAGACACATACAAGTATAAACAAGCCTGAGTATGTCTTGGACCAAAAGTTATATTATAAGTTCTCAAAGCCTTACACAATTTTATTTGTTCCTTGCAATTTAAACCCTAAAAGGAAGTTTAAACCTTAAAACAGTTTTCTGTATAGCTTGTTTTTTGAAAATATGCTTCCAAAATAGAAAGAAATTTTTACTGTGCCTGAGAAACTTGCCTGTCATGATCTTTATCCACCAGGTGATATCTTGCCCTAAATGCCACAAGCCGGGCATAATATGCAGGGGCTGGAATAGAGACCGAGCGTGTGCACCTCACATAAGTGTGGCACAGCTGGTAAGTCAGTAGCTGGAGCTCATCTGCAGTGAAGCAGTTGTCATCCCACAAGACCTGGTAATGTGAAGGACGGCTGGTTCCCTGGAGAGAAAGTTTTATGATTAATGTATTTCTAGCATGAGTTGACTAAGAGAAGAAAGGAACTGAAATCTCATGATTAAACTCAGACATATTTCTATCTAGCACACCTACAAGTAGATACCTAAACCAAAAGATAGCAATTCTGGAAAATAAAAATTAACAAAGTCAAGCAGTGTTTAATAACAAGTCTACTGAAGCTAGTTGTTGAATTGGCAAACATCCCCCTATCAGGTCAAAGATCTGGAACAGCTTCCAAATTACCTGAATTCCTGCATGACTCCAAATTACCTGAATTCCTGCATGACTACAGAGGTAAAAGTCAAATTCAGATGGATGTGTGATGGTACTATCCACAGTAGTGCCTGCTGGGACATTGCCACTTTTCCCCACCTGATTGAAAAAAAAAAGTAAGTAAAAAAATGTAATTATTCATCAGAGTAACAAACTGTGTTATAGCCACCTTATCTTTGATAACAAGTTGGTAATCTGCTCTTAAGTGAAGTCTTGAAAACTAGTTTAGTTCAAGATGTTGAGTCAGTCATAGTGATTCATACCTGTAACCTCAACACTGGGGAGAACACTGAGGCAGAAGAATTGTCATGAGTTCAAGGTCAGCCTGGGCTATAAGTGAGACCCTGTCTCAAATAAAAAGAAAAGTTGAATCCCATTGTTCGTGTGAGATTTTGGATTGAGAATCTGTGGGTTCTGGTCATCTGGGGCTGAAGAATCAGCTGTGATTAAGAAGAGACCAGAACCTGAAGCAAAACCTTTGCTTTACTGGGATAAGTGATGCTGGTTAGCTGGGGCTGAAAAATCAGCTGTAAGTAACAAGAGACCAGCATCACTGAGGTGACGTCTTCTGGGAGGTATTTCCTTAGGGTCAGCACACAGAGGGGACCCGAACCTCCATCTCTAGCTGGAAGCAGGACTTGGTAATGTGTAAGAGTCTCCTGTATGGTTCTGGTGTTGAAAGCGTGAAGGGGTCACAGAGAGCAGCTGAGGCTTGGCACGCAGAGGCCAGGAAAGGCCATAGGTGAAAGTGAAGCTTCAGTTGCAGTTAAGACCCCAGGACTGAAGGGGTCATGGATAGAATCTGAGGCTTTGCACCCAGAGAGGCAAGAAGAAGTCATTGGTGAGGGTATGGACTCAGTTTCAGTGGAGACCCCAGCTTTTTGGAGATGCCAGGACCGTGGGACAACCACCAAGGACAGCAGTAGGTGTGGAATGGAGCTGGCCTGGGTCTGCGAGATGAGCTGTGTGTGCTGTGGACAGCAGAGTCAGGGAAGTGGAGTTGCCAGAACCCTTTGGAGGCCAGAAGATCATGGGTGAATCCCAGATGTCCAGCTTTGAGCTACTCTGCTGGACTTTGGTTTTGCTTAGGTGTGCCCAATTCTTCCCTTTGAAATAAGACAGTACTTGTTTTGGATATTACAGAAGTCCACAGTTAAGAGACTTTTAAAAGAGACTATGAACTTCTAAGTGTTTGAATTTTTTAAAGACTGTGGGGTTTTAAGTTTGCACTGTCTTATGTTGTGACATTAACACCATATCTTGGGGACAGAAATTGGAAAGTTATGGTTTAATAGTGATGTTTGTGTGTCAAGTTGACAAGAGGTCAATTGTGCTGGATAGCTTTAGTGTCAACTTGACACACCTGCGTTGAAGGATCCTCAACTGGGGAATTGCCTCCATTGGACTGACCTGTGGCCATGTCTATAGGGCATTTTCTAGATTGTTGAGTGATGTGGGAGGGCCCAGCTCACTGTGGGTAGTGCCACCCCTGGGCAGGTGGGCCTGTGTTGCTTAAGAAAGCAGGGTGAGCAGGGGCCAGGGGAGCGAGCCAGTAAGCAGCATTCCTCCATGGCCTGTGCTTCAGTTCCGGCTTCCAGGTTCCTGCCCTGAGTTCCTACCTTGGGCTCCCTGATGAACTGTGACCTGGGAGTTGTAAGCTAAATAAACCCTTTCCTCCCCAAGTTGGTATTGGTCAGAGTATTTTGTCACAGCAATGAAGAACAACTAGGACAGGGAATAAACATGGTTTGAGGGAGCAAGAGAACATAGCCACCTCCTTTTTTGGTATTTATATAGGTTTTCTTTTCTTTCTTTCTTTTTTTTTTTTAGGCCAGGCTGGCCTGGAACTCACAGAGCTTGCTTGCCTCTGCCTCCTGAGGGCTAGAATTAAAGGCATGCACAACCAGACCTGGCCTATATGTTTGTTTCTTTGAGACAGGGTCTTGTTATGTAGCCCAGGCTGACCTGAAAGTTAATGTAGCCCAGGTCAGTTTCAAACTCATAATTTTTCTACCTCAGTCTCTTAGTGTTGGAATTACAGGTTTAAGATATCACACCCAACTCATATAACTTTTATCACAGTACATGGCTCTATTTTATTATTGTTGTTAATCTCTTACTATGCCTAATTTATAAATTAAATTATAGCACAGGTATGTATGTATAGAAAAAACATAGCATATATATATATAGGTTTCAGGTGTCTACTGGGGAGTCTCAGAACAGATTCCTCATGAATAAGAGGACCTACTATATAACAGCTCTAGCATTTTCCCCAAAGCGTGTTCTTTAGGAATATAAGTTTTGAAGTGTGCCTAAGAGTTTTATATCAAACAAATTTGATGAATGCTGGCTTAAACCGAAGTTTCAAGGGCATTTTTTTAGGGATAGAAGTACAACTCAATAGTGTAGTATTTGCCTGTCACATGTGGGTCTGGGGTACAAATCTCAGTACCATATACATACAGACACAGACACAGACACAGGCACACAGACACACACACACACAGACACACACACACACACATCCCCCATAGGCTTTTCTAGTGTGTAATTTCTCAAAACCTTTATTTATCTCAGGTATAATCTTTAAGAAGACAATAGAATACACATATATGGCATTTCCCAAAGTTATTTAACCACACAACCTCTTTTAAAAACTCTCTAGGTTTCTACAAATGAAAACTGAAAGCTATTATGCCTTAGAGAAAGGGAAACCAGACACACTGAACTCAACAATTATTGCTTGATCACCCATGTGTTAGGTTCTGCAGCAGACGTTGAGAATGAGAGCCAGAGGCAGAAAAAACTAATGAACTTGTCTTCCTGCTGCAAGTACTTAGTGCTGTATGTTAAGGACAGACAAAGTACTGGGAAAAGCTTTGTAGGGTAAGCAGGAGTTGAGAAAGGAGTGAAGTCTGGCATGGTGGCACACAGCATACTCTCAAGTACTCAGGAGGCTTACGTAGGAAGGTTACACATTTGAGGCTAGGCTGGCTACATAGCAAGATGAAAGAAAGGAAAGAAGGAAAAAGAAAGAAAGCAAGAGAAAGAGCAAGAGAGAGCGAGAGCAAGTGAGAGTGAGTGAGCGAGAGAAAAAGAGAAGGAAGGAAGCAAAGAAAGAATGAAGGAAGGAAGGAAGCAAAGAAGGAAAGAAAGAAGGAAAGATGTAAAGAAGTAAAGAAAGAGGGATAAAGACTGCAGACACTAAATACTCCTAAACTAAGTAATAGATAAGTAAACTGTGACTCATCTATATCATCACATCATGAATACTACTCAAAAATAAAAAGGAACATGTTGGGGCTGGAGAAATGGCTCAGTAGTTAATGATACATCCTGCTCTTGCAGAAGACCCAGGTTCAGTTCACAGCATCCATATGGTGGCTCACAACCACCTATAACTCCAGTTCTAGGATATCCAATGCTCTCTTCTGGCCTCTGTGGGCAATGCATGCATGTGGTACAAATAAATACATGCACACGAAATACTCATACAATATAAAACAAAAATAAAATTTGTAGAAAGGAACATATTGCTAATATATGTAATAACATAGGTCATTATTTGATATACTAACTAAAAAGAGCCAAATTTAAAGGCTACATGTCATATTTATATGACATTCTGGAAATGGCAAAATTACAAGCTAAGAAGTCTTAGTGGTTTTCAGTAGTTAGAAGTAAGGGAAAGTTTGATAAGAAGAGGGCATACAGAATTTTTTTGCACCACAGACCTGTAATCCTAGCTGTTCAGGAGCTGGAAGCAGAAGGATCCCAAGCTCAATGCTTGCCTGGGCTACAGAGTGACTTCAAGGCCACTTTCTGTTTCTCAAAACAGAAAGTAAAAAGGGGCCAGGGGATTTAACTGAGTGGTAGAACATTTGCTTATATTTGTGAAGCCCTAGATGTAATCTCCAACATAGTTTAAAAAAAAAAGATTGGTTATGAACAGAACTGTATGTATTTGTCTAAACTATAAACTATACTCTAAAAAGATTGAGTTTAACTGTAGTGATAGTGTACCTTAACAAAAACAATGAGGAGGAGAGGGCTGGACATGGTTATTCCAGGGATAAGAAAGCACAGCAGGAAATGGGAGATGCATGAGGACACGGCAAAAAGAAACCAACATGTTGGTTTGGCCCTCCTGGGAAACCATGGAGGAGCAAAGGAAGGTATTTGGTAAGCAATGGGGGAACATTTGGAGCCTTTTGAGCAGATGAGTGTGTTTTAGACGCCAATCCCTGATAGCAGAGTGAAGGAGGAAGAGACGGGGCGATTGCTAGGAGTCTCCTGCACTACAGACATGTTCTGCCTACGGCAGCATGAACTTGAGACGAGAGATTTTGGGGCAGAACTCAGGATTATTTGACAAACAGGGCATGGTGGGGACAATAAGACAGGAGAATGAGGCATTTCTAGTTTGGCTGACATATTACACAGTGATGCCAAATAACAGAATAAATGGAAAACTGGAGGAAGAATAGGTTTTGGATGGGGATGAAGCAGTAAGTGGAAGGTTTGGATGGGCCTGTGGTTGATTGTATCACTGGTGCCAAATATTCCTGTGCTCTTCCCTGGGGAAAGATTATAGAGTTCTACCCATCTATCTCAGGAGTAGCCATGTGAATTGCTTTGACTGATAAAATATGACGAAAACTGTTACTTCTAGGCAGAAGCTTTAAGAGCCAGCACACAACTTGTCTTATTTTTTCCCCCTTATTCTACAGTGACTGGCAAGGTTCTCTGTCAGCCAGGTTCCAAAGCCAGGACAGCAGGGTCACAAGTGCGGCAGGACTACAGTGAATGTGTAATGTGAGCAAGAAATGAGTCTTTGAAAACCTCCAAGATAGGTTTTGGTTGCTCTCACCACCATACAGTCTAGCCTATCTGGACTGATACAATGCCTACAGAGCATCTAAGTGAAAATGTCTGGGAGGTAATTCAAAGCATAAATCAGGAGTCATAGAGCAGTCTAGGGATAAACATACCAAACTATGAGTTGATAAGCAAGTAAGCGAGCCAAGGAAAGTAGATGAGACTAAAAACAGCAGAAGCTGAGAAGTGTGAAATGCAAGGACACATTAGTATGTGAT